CCAAGCTCTTGTGGACACCACGTGGATGATCGAGAAATGGTGGGGGTTCGAAGATGGAGGAGTGATTGCCAATTCTGGGTAAAGTCCGAGTGAGCGAAGTGCCTGAAAGTATGCTGGTGTGTGGCCAAAAAGGTAACCAGATCGAGGATTTTGTCGAAGAACCGTACCCTAGTACTAGTTTCATCTCTGAAGGTTTTGTTATTCCATTCTAGCCAGCTGACCTATATGGTAGCTTCGATTGAGGCTCTCCAAAGAATTGAGGCCAGATGTTGCCCGAGGGGCTAGGAAGGAAGTGGTGAAAAGATGAGGGATGGACTTGGTAAGGACCCATGACCATTTAAATAGGGACAACAATCTGGTCCAAAGGGAGGTGGCAAAGTCACAATGGGGGAAAAGATGGTTATTAGTTTCTTCAGCTGAGGTACACATAACACACCTATTAGGTGATGGGAGGTCAATGGTTAGGAGTCTTGGGGATAGGGCAAGCCATAAGAACATCTGGATTTTGGGGGGGAATGATAGAGAACCAAGCTTTTGCCGCTATGGAGGGAGGATTGGGGGGGGGGGACGGATGAGGGGGAGGTGATCATGTGATACATGGATACCACATTGAAGACAAAAATTCTTTTCGAACCCAATTTTCTTCTAGTGAAAATAAAAGTTCTAAGCCTTCCCATCTTGTTCATTCTGATGTTTGGAGGTCTGCTCCTGTTATTTCTGTTTTTGGATATAGGTATTTTATCTCATTCATCGATGACTATTCTCGTTATACTTGGATATATTTTATGAAAAGCAGAGATGAAGTACCTTCAAATGTACAAATATTTCATAAAATGGTTCAGACCCAATTTGAGACCCAAATAAAAATTTTCCATTATGATAATGAAGGAGAGTATCTAAACCATGGATTAAAGAATTATTTTCTTGAACATGGTATAGAAACTCAGACATCATAATTCCCATACACCATAGCAGAATAGTGTGGCAGAACAGAAAAATAGATGCTTCTTAGTGAGAGGCATCTTAATAGGAATGAGGGTTCCTAATACATATTGGGATGAAGCAGTTCTTACTGCTACCTATATGATCAAGAGAGTCCCTACACCTGTTCTTGATGTGCTTATCCTTTCAAACTTCTCCAGCATACACTTCCTTTATTTTCTTTTCCACCAAAATTTTTGGTTGTCTGCTTTGTGTATGCATTGGGGCTGGCTAGAAATACTTAAGACCTCAATCTACCATGTGCGTGTTCCTAGGGTACTCAAACTCTCAGAAAGGATACAAATATTATATTACTATCCAAAAACTAAATAGATGTTTCAAAAGCTATTACAGAATGTACCCTATCTTTCTTCCCAAAGAGATCGGATATCCACTATGCCACCCAACAATCCTATTCCTTTTCCAATGATCATAGATGGTTCCAATAATCTAACCAAGGAACATTTGGAATTTACTAAGAAATAATTGAATGTGTACACTCGAGAAAGGAACAAGGGAAAGTCTAATGTAAATGATCAACCCCAACTTGACTGATCAATTATTTCTTCTCCTCCTACTCCTATACTCCTGAATTCAATATACCTATAGCCATAAGAAAAGAAAAACGAGTTGTACTTCTCATCATCAGTAAGTTTGTTTCTTATGCTTTACTTCCACCTGTTCTCGTGCATACCTTTTCTCGACTTCCTTTATTTCTATTCCCACCAAAGTTGCAGATGCATTGGCTCATCCACAATAGAAAGCAGTCATAATTGAGGAACTAATTGCCTTAGAGAAGCAGCAAACTTCGTATGTAATTGATCGGCCAAAGGGACATGTGGTAGGATGCGGGTGGGTGTATACCCTGAAGCACAAACCAGATGGTTTGATTGGGAGATACAAAGCTTGTCTGGTGGCTAAGGGTTTTACACAATTATATGGGGTTTGATTCTAAGGAAACTTTTGTTCCTCTGGTGTATGGGATTATTTATCTATTGCAGCAAATAGGATACGTCCACTCCACCAACTAGACGTGAAGAATGCTTCTCTCCATGGAGATCTGCAAGAGGAAATATATATGGAATTACCACCTGGGATTTAGCCTCAGGGGGTGAAAGGAAAGGTATGCAAGTTGAGGAAAGCTATATATGGATTGAACAATCACCTTGAGCTTGGTTCAAAAAATTCAGTATGACAATATATCATTTCGGATTTCAAAGGAGTGTTTTTTATTATTATGTATTTGTTAAAAGAGAATTTTGTTCTACCACAATACTGATAATGTATGTAGATGATATGGTGGTCACTAGAAAAAATGATAATGAAATTCAAAAAGTGAGAGTTTTTGGGGTGTTTTTGACATCAAGGTCTTGGTCCATTGAAATACTTCCTTGGATAGAGGTGGCTAAGTCTAAACAAGGAATTTTTTTTGCCTCAAAGGAAGTATACTCTTGATCTTCTCAATGACATAGGAATGCTTGGAGCCAAACCAGCAGAATCTCCTAAGAGGTTAATAAAAACTGTATGATCAGTAGTCAGAGCCTCTGAGTGACCTTGCTGTATATCAGATATTAGTGGTTAGACTTATTTATTTAACTATCGTACTGCTAGACATTGCATATGTTGTAAGTGTGGCAAGTCAGTTTATGCACGCTCTGTGCTCCCATCACTTGGAGGTTGTTTATCGCATTTTATGATATTTAAAATCTACTCCAAGGAGAGGGCTACTTTATACCAGTCATGGTCACCTTGATGTATAAGGTTTCTGCAATGCCGATTGGGTCGGGTGCTCTCTTGATCGACAATCTACTAGTGGTTACTTTATGATAGTGGGTGTTAATTTAGTCACCTGGAAGAGTTAAAAGCATAGTGTTGTATCTTGATCTTCAGCATAAGCCGAATATTGATCAATGGCAATTGCTACATGTGAAATAATTTGGCTCCGTTTTCTTCTTTAAGAGATGGGTGTTAATATATCAACTCCTATTCCTCTACATTGTGATAGTCAAGCGGCAATTTGCATTACCTCGATTCCTATATTTCATGAAAGAACCAAGCATATTGAGGTCGACTGCCACTTTTTCAGAGAAAAGGTCGCTTCCAAGAGAATGTGTGCTCCATTTGTTCGTTCCAAGAATAAATTAGTAGACATAATTACCGGGGCTTCTAATCGAGTTTGACTAAAGGAGACTTAGGGCAAGCTGCATATGTGATATACATGCTCCAGCTTGAGGGGAGGTGTAGCAACTGTTAATGGGCAATGTAACAGTTGTAACTTCTATGCGTAATGGGTCTCATGTAGTGGTTGTTATGGTGTTATGGGCTCACGTCCATCAAAACCTGCAATTCCTATGAGTAATGGACCTCATGCCCATTAGGACTTGTTGTAATAGTTATTGTAACTCCTATTGTTAATTCTTGTTGTAATGGTTGTAATTATTTTGCGTGTTGACCTACCCATTATGTAACCACATGAATCTTTGTATATATAGGGCACATTGACCTATGATTTGTAGTGTCATCATCAGCATCATCATCCAAGCCTTATCCCAATTATTTAGGGTTGGCTTTATGAATCTTGTTCCTCCATTCCTGTCTATCAAGGGCCATGTCCTTAGTAAGCCCAAAAGCCACCATATCTTTTCTCACTACTTCTATCCATGTCTTTTTGGGCCTTTTCGTTGCCTTTTTAGAGCCTTCCACTTGAACGAAATCGCACCTCCTAACCGGTGTTGTATTAAGTTTACGTTGCACATGGTCAGCCCACCTAAGTTGACTTTCTCTTATCTGATCAACTATTGAAGCCACACCTAAATTCTCTTGTACTTACTATTCATTCTGAACTTTATCCTTTCTTGTCACTCATCCATCTCAATATCCTCATCTTAGCTACGCTCATCCGATGGATATGTTGTTTCTTGACTGCCCAACATTACAGCCGTCGTCTAGAACTTCCCCTTCAATCGCAATGGTATGTGATGATCACATAAAACTTTGGATACACATCTCCACTTCGCCCACCAGCTTTAATTCTGTGTGACATCTTCCGTAATATCTTCATTCTCCTACATTATCAATCCTAGATATCGGAAACAATCTCTTTTAGGTATTTCTTGACCATCAATCTTAACTACTTCCTCATTTCTACTCTTATTATTATTAAATTTGCATTCTATATATTCTGTCTTAGTTTGGCTAGTTTTAAAACCTTTAGATTCTACGATTTGTAGTGTGTGAAAAACATATCTACTTTATCTTCTGCTTGGATATTACTCTTTATCTCTCTTCTCTCTCATTCATCTCCCCAACGTTTCAATGTCAACTATAAAAGCTAGGAGCTTCATTCCTCCACTCACAAGTCCATGAAATTGGGGAACCCAAATGCTACTATAGAATACAATCCATTATTAGTAGAATCCCCCAACCCCCCTGCCCCATCATTTTTTTTGTCTTTTTTCTTTAAGATTACCTATTGTTGCCCCCTCCCCCATTAAATCCCCGCCCATAAACCTCTTTCTTAATTTTTATTTTATTGAGATCACCGATCTGGGTGCTTTGAGAACATTCTGGATCGCTCATCCAGCCGATCCGGATTGGGATCGAAGGTGGGCGATCTATCCCACTGATCCGTTTTTTTAAACACTGGCAGTAGTTGTAGTATTAAGTCTTAGTAGTAATGGTAGTGTCAGTAGTAGTAACAGTGGTGGCACTTGATGGTGAAAGTGATTGTTTCCTGTTATCAAAGGTAAGATAATTAATCTAGAAGTAATGCAAGGGAGGAACGAGGAAATAATTACTGGAAGGATTTTGATGAATGTAGATCTATGGAAAATTCTAAACTGTTTAGAAAAAACTTCTGGAAACTGTTCGTCTTGCAATGGCTTCTCCTTTGTGTTTGTTATCTAAATATGTTCTAAATTTTGTCTCATTGAGAGCTTCTATCAATTATCCACCAGGCACATGCACTAACATCATATTCTTTCACTTCAAGCTAACTGGATACTCTGGTTTTCCCTCAGGAGCCCTTGGTTCACTACGTGCTTCGGGTTCATTATATGAAGGGGTGCCATCGCTTGATGCTTCTTCTGTTGTTACTTGGTGAGCACTTCCTCTATGAGCTTCAATACATGAAGTATTGTGGTTTCTGCAGTGTCGTCATTACAAATAGCAATATTTACATACACCAAAGAATATTAGTAATGTCATAAAGAGAGCATAATACTGCTCTGTTTTCTACTTCTTTATTATGTTTTATCTTCTTCTTTTTTTCCTAGTTGCCCGTTATCAATGTCCATCCATTCTGAAGTAAATTTACTAAATATCCCCGACCAAAATAAACGAACTAACATGTGACTTCTCAAACCCTAATAATCTATGCTAGAAAAAGACCAAAAGTAACAATATAATATATCCCTTAATCCCCATAATTAGAATATATATATATATATATATATATATACACACACACACACATATATGCATAAGACACTTGGTTGGAGAAAACTTGTGCTTGAGTTTTGAAGTGGGTTTTGATTGGGCTCAAAACAAATCCACATTTCTTCAACATTCTTCTTTGCTGTCATAGAAGTTTAAATGTACCAAGAATGCCCAAAAAAATGGATCGAAATGTGTAGAGCAAGGGATTGATATGACAAACATAAATCAGCCATCTCCATATTCTCTTTGGATTTAATATCGGTAAATCCATCTCATTAGCAATAGGGTTCTCTGCAATATCCAAATTAACATCTAATCTAGGTATAATCAAAGATTGGTAGTGAGTCTCAATCCACAATTTCCTTATTTTGTTAAAAGGATGATGAAAATAAATGGTTCCCATGATAACCATGGAAACCAACTGGTGTTGAGGCCCCTCATTGATGAAGCAGATTGGCAGCGGATCTTTCTCTGCAACAATCAGTCTTGTAATCTTCATATCCGATCCCTGGTATCCTTCCATGCTGTTGTACTTCCTACACATTATGGTTGAGTTAGTATGGTTTTTGTGTAAACTTGGTGACAGTTTGTTGCAATTATGCAAATCTGTCTTGATCTGCAGCAAGAGCTTGTCTTCTTGATGACATCTTCAAATCACAACTTGAATTCCCTAGGACGCCCTGCTTTGATACCAATTAACACTGGCCATAATATTTTATTGTTGAAAAAATATTTAAAAATGCAAGAAATTAATCTCACCTGTTGTATTAATTTGTTTGAAAGTTTTACAGCTGGCATAATATTTGCGAGGAAAATTATCAGACTACCTATAAGACATGAACTATTTAAAGATTTTACCCACTATTATTCCAACTCAAGACCATGTGTTCCTTTTGGGTATTTTGAAATGAAATCAAAAGATATGGTTAAAGTGTTAGATTGTTCATCTCTTACAGGTAATTTGATAAAATTCCCCATTTACAATGACGCTTTCTAAAAAGTTTTTCCATGCACATAATGGCCTCGCTGCATTTGCTCTTTTCCTCTCTAAGATAAATTGTGAATTTGTATTTTTCATATTTTATGTTGATATTTCTGTGATCATTCATTGGTGGGATTATCTTTTCTTCCGAGATGCTATTTCGAATTTTCCATATCACCTCGCTTAGTGTTCCTTGATTGGCATTGATTATTTTCTTTTATCCTGAGTTTTTTCTTGCCATATGAGCCAAATCAGAGTGAGTAGAGTGTCATTCCAAAGCTTTGCTAGAAATTTGTTTTCAAACTTTTTTAGAACCAATTTGTCAGGAGGCATTGGATGTTTGTACTTGCAATGGCTTGGTCTTGAATCACTTCTAGTGACTGTTTTCCAAATCTCACCCACCAAGGTGCATGCAATGAAGAGGTGATTGTGGTCTTCAATCTCAACTTTGCATAGGGAAATCTATTGCAACTAGGGTAACCCCATTTTTGCATCAGAGTATGGTAGCCTTTTTTGATAAGCTACCTATTTAAACCATGAGACCCTCTGGTGTATTGGTTTTTCCTATACGGCCTCAGGCATTTTATTTTTGGTCCCATATTCTCTGATAATCCATCATCGTCCCGAGCAACTATCTGGGGTATATTCTCTGGTTATTCATAAATGTTTTATGAGGTAATTTCTCCATAGTCATTAGGCGCACATGTCAGTTTATCTTCAACCCCCCTCACTAGCTTTTTCTAAGATTTGCTTCTATGTCCACAATCTCCTGACCATGTATTTCCGAGCCCAATACTGAGAGGTGGTTAGGAATCTTCCCAGGCACAGGTCCCTAATAATTTCTCCCCATAAGTCATACAAGGACCCCTTCCTTTAGTCATGGATCAAACCAAAATCACTTTTGGAGCCATCCCCTACAATCCATTGATCCAGCGCTCGCCTCACCTTGTAAATAGTTGTAATTCTTTTAGCAACATGAAATTTTGTGACCACATTCTGTCTTATTTAAGCTAGAGGCCTATTACCGGTTCAATCATTCCATTTTACCAGAATACTTTTCTATAATTTTCTTGCTTAGGTTAAGTTCTGTAATCAAGTAGTCTGTTGCAGTAACTTTTTTTTTAAAAATAAACAGTTTCAAAAAGAAGTTCTGAAATCATAGTCTGTTGTTATCACAAGTAAACTGGAAACCTTATTTTGAAAGTGAAAGGGCAAGATCAAAAAAAGGGTATGTGCTTGATTTACTTGACTACAAGCTCATTCTCACCTAGAGCGTTAATTATTAGTTATCCTATTCAAGTGTACCTTTATAAGCTTCGGAATGTATTAATGGCTACTGGGCAAGCTGATTATCTTGCCATTACTGCTCTCGATATTACGAATTGTATTGGAAAAGGTTGCTTGCAAGAACTTACAAGATGCACCTGCTTGAGTACATGCCCAAACTTAAAATATCTGGAAACATGGATGCTGTTGGCGCCTTTGATTTGTGAGATATTTGGGGTAAATTTTTTGTTCTCTCTTAATCATTGGAAACAGTATATAGGAAGTCATACGCTTCAAGTGGAATGATATTATTGTACCTTTCCAAAACCCGAAATATTAATCCATAAACTTCTGCTACCGAGTGTCTTTCCAGGCTTTCCTATAGTTGTTAGACAAAGCGCCATTGTAATTTTCTTAAATATATTATGCTTCATGTGTTTAAAATCTCTTTCCATTGCTTGTCTAGTTTTCTTCATGCTTTTATGACATTACAACTGCCATTTCCTTCATCATGCAATGCACAGGAAAGGGAAAAGTACCAAACATGTTTCTGAACCTCATAAAAAGAATCTGTTTTTACAAAGTTTGGAGGATGAGGATGAGAGCTTGAGTTATTGCAACGAACTGGCTGGTGGGATTGAAGACAATCAGACCCAAGAAGACAAGGATAAACAGTGTGTTGATTGTCTGGAAAATGGGGTTGAGTTCTGGACTGATTATTCAAAAGTGCATTTCCATCCTCAGAGTTTGTTTGAACTGAATGGGTTATGGAGGGGACCGCATGAGTTTAACAATTATGGAACAGGGAGAGAGGTCTTTTCGGAATGCTTGCAGGGGGAAGAGATTAGTACGAGGTTGCGGTTCTTTGTTGAAGAATGCGACCATATGCAGGTAAAATTATCTTCAAATTCTGAACGATATCTGTTTCTTCAAAAAGATAAATGTAAAATAGTAAAATAATACTTGGTTTCCTTTCTTAATGTTTAACATTATAAAAAATAAAAAAAATACATGGTTTCCTTTCTTTACCCCCTCCGAATAAATGTTACTCACCAATATGCAACGGTGCATATCTATGCAAACTAGTTACATGACCGCTCTATGTGGTATTACCTCTAGTATGGTTGAATGAGCATTCTCCTGGTCATGGTCTTGAATTTCTGCAAACTTCTGGTAAAAAGTATGCCATGCACCACAATATGGTTAATGGGCAGCAATGTTCAAAAGGCGGAAGTAGCCACCTAGGCAGGCCGCCCTAAGGGAAGGGGGTTGGGGTGGGGGCCATATGTTGTTTTTTGTGTGTGTTTTCTGTGAATGTGTGTGTGTATGTGCATGTGCACGTATGTGTGTGCGTGAGGTCACGCATGAAATGCTTTTTTCTTTTTTTCTTTTTTCATTTTGGATCTGTATTGAAAGAGAGAGGTTTCGAACACTTTGGAGGATATGTTGAGAAAGGGGAGGGGGGGGGGGGGGACCTTGCATCGAACACTTGGAGGTCATCTTGTTCTTACATGTAAAGTGGGAGCATATGGGTCCATGTGTGTCTTTGTGTGTGTATGTGTGAGAGGGGCTGGTCATCGAATACCTAGAGTCCTTCTTCTTCTTGTTTTTTTTTAGGTAAGTCCATCTTCTTATTCTCATATGTAGAGAGAGAGAGAGAGAAGGGCAATACCATGCTTTATTTTTGTTTGGGTGGATTTGAATTCTTTCTCTTTTTTATTTTTTTTATTTTTTTTTATTTTTTATTTTTAAGGGATGGCACTAGGTGGGTGCCCTGACTGCCTAGGTGCCCGCCTTGAGCCTATGCACCTGCCTTGACTGCTGAAGCACCTGCCTTGACTGCTGAAGCACCCGCCTTAGGCATACCTGCCCGGACCCCACCGCCTAGGCTACACCTAGGCACAAACTCAGTGCCCGGACCCCACAGCCTAGGCTACACCTACGCACAAACTCAGCCCGGGCAGCCGACTTTTTCTTCAGTATTTATATATCACAGGAAGTGAAGTTGTACTCAATAGCCAAAGTTGGCTGCAACTCTGACCAAACTTTATCCTGTATCTTGGCAAGGTATTTCTTCGGGGTCACTTATGAATTTTGACAATATTCAAAAAGAGAAGATGCTCTCCAACCCAAATTTATGCCTCCAGAGTCACATTGTGTACCAGTGAGAAGATATCTTGTAAGAATGTCCCGGCTTGTTTTATAATCTTGTTGAGATTTCCCTGTTTTAGATTTTATCTTTTTGTTTGTTTTTTTTTGGGGGACAAATGTCAATTGCTAACTAATTTAGCCCAGGCCCCATTCCTGATTTTTCCTGTTTTATTTCCTAACTCTTCCTTTTCTTTTACTGATCCTTTTTGTACTGGGCTCCCCTGCATGGGCTGCCTTTAACTCATGCCTCATGAGCTTTTTGTACTATCTATTTGAACATATACAAGTGAACTCTTCAAAAAAGAAAAAATTTCTCATAAAGTGTCCATGATCCTATGATATTTACTCCTAAGAGAAGATGCACTTTTTGACACCTTAAACAAATTTGGAAAAAAAGGAAAACTTTTCAGGCAACAAGACAGTTATTCAACTGCCTTACTGTCCTATAATCCATCAGTTTGTAATTGTCCGATGAAATGATGGACCTACCGCTACTTACTAGAGAAGGAAAATAAATGATAGACCAACCAAAACAGGACGTGTGGGTCTTGCTCTCTCCACTGTCAATTACTGTATTGAGTGGTGATGATGCCAATAGACTACCGTGGTCCATAGAAACCGTAATTCATACATGTTTCCTAACATGAAATATATAGGACCTATTGTTTTCTTTTGACATGTTACCATTCCCTACGCAGGACTTATTCATGCATATAATATTTTAATGCTGGAACCAATGCTGCATTTACAGGGTTTCCAGTTCATTGTTGATGACTCCGGTGGATTCTCAAGTGTAGCTGCTGAGTTCTTAGAACAAATATCAGATGAATACAGAAATATACCGATTTTGCTTTATGCCGCAAGAGGCCCTGACAGTTACACCAATATTCCAAGCTGGAAAGCTTCTATGTCGAAGAATCTCCATGATGCTATCTCTTTCTCTAGGCTATCTTCCTTCTGTAACTTGATGGTGCCACTTGGATTACCTTCCCTGAGTCAAAGTATGCGACATTCTTTTGCTAAAACTTTTAGTATAAGATGTTGTGATATCCCTTTTAGTATAAGATGTTGTGATATCCCTCTCGCTGAAATTGAGGGTATGACTGAGGGTGTGGCCCTTTATTGAGCTGCATGACAGAACAAGATTCATGTAGCCGAACCCAAATAGTTGGGATTAGGTTCAGATGATGATAATAATAATACTGTAATATCCCTCATTGGGCTGACCTTGAAACTTTAGGCTAGTTCGCAGATGTGATTAGATTGTTAGGGAGGGAGAGTGACATCTAGTTTATTATTTGCCTAGAGAGACCCTTTGCATTCAGTAAAACATGCGAGAGTAGTCAGTGTCAGTTACAAACATATGGAGTTTTGCCCCCAACTGAAATGATTGCAAAGTTTACTAAACCCAATGGACCATACGAAACCATACTCCATTGAGGTAATCACCTTCCAGTGAAGTGATGGATAGTGATGGAGAGAGTGGGACACCCATTTGGTCATTGGCTGTTCTGGTAGGTCTCACTATCTTCATCACCGTCCTTTCTCATTAATCGACAGTGATGACCCCAATGGACCATTGTTGTTCATAGTCCATTGGGTCAAGCATACTTTCCTATGGCGACATATATGCTTCTGAAGGTTGTTGCTTTGTGGTCCTGTATTATAATATGTGCCTTCTGATTATTTTGTGAGAGGGAGAACATATTTATTAGAAATCAGAATGGGCGTGCTTATGATGAGTGCCTTTCCCTTGTGCCTTTAGGGACTATAATTCTTGGCCCCTCTCTCTCTCTCTCTCTCTCTCTCCTCCCTCCCTCCCCTACCCCTACCCTAACCTAACCTAACTACTAACTACTACTACTACGTACGTACTACGTACTACTACTACTACTACTTACGTACGTACGTACGTAACGTACGTAACGTACGTACGTACGTACGTACGTACGTACGTACGTACGTTACGTTCGT